GTGTGTGTGTGTGTGTGTGTGTGTGTGTGTGTGTATGTGTGTACATGTGTCCCATGAAGCCCAATCTGAGTTCTGAAACCCAGGCGCTGAGTTTTTATAGACACTTCGTCGTGGGCAGTTTACTGGGACCCCCTCTCAGCAGGCCTAGGGTGATCATTATCTGAGGGGTGCTGAGAATCCTCTGGTGAGCTGTGGAGGGGGCAGGCTTGGTGCAGTCTGTTAAATAACCTCCCAGTAAAAGGTCCCTTCAGCATCATATACCTCACTCTTTATGCCTCTTGATTCTGGCTATGCTGAAGGCCAGTGTAGCCTTCTTGTACTGGAACTTTCTTGGCCACAGCAGCTCCATGGCTACCTTCTCTCTGCTCCCCAAGACCTACTCTGCCTCTTATCACTCAGCGTAGGTTAGCTCAGTACATTCATCATCCTAAAATGCCACTAAAGTCCCCTACCATCATGCTGGCTAGCCCTCTGCTTTGGCTCCTGAGGTGGCTGGCTGGTGGGTGTCAGACACTTGAATGAATTGTCCCTCCCTGGGAGGCAGGCCAGTGAACCATGCCTGGCCAATGCAAACCTTCACTGAGACCAGCCTCTAGAGCCAGTGGGCAGAGGATGAGCAGGTGGCTGAGTTTACTCTGGCATCAACAGGAGAATCCAGCATCCAGAGATGTCAAGGGCCCCTGACAAGGCCATTCCTGGACTGTCCCTTGTCTGGGAGCTGGGGCTCTGATGGTCCAGCTCCCCTAGTTTCTATCTGTTTCCCAAGTGCCGTCTCTCCAGCCTTTCTGTGACTCTGAGCACCACCTGTGTTCCTTGTGGTAATCTTCGCTGCTTCCAGAAGCCAGAGTCATTTGTTATTCCCCCGAAATGCTGGGGAGAAGCCACTTCAGTGGCAGACATCTCCAGGTTTTCCAGCAGAGGGGGAGCAGTGGCCACTGCCCACGTATTTCTCACTACCCCTAAGCACAAGCTCTGGGGACTCGATGTCAACCTCCTCATGGGTTCTCTTAAGTCACACCAAGCACATTCTGATCTTGCAATTGACAGCCAGGGATAGACTCACTCACTAAGTTTCATCTTCTTTTCCCTGACATCATGGGACAAGCTTTGCTGCTCTTTCCACTGGCCATATGGTTTTTATGCCTCAGAGGCTGAGAGCCAGGCCTCATTGTCCCTCCTTCCCTGTGGTCACTGGTGGGTGGCTTCTGCTTATGGCCAATGGATCACCACTGGATCCAGGTCTGGAAGTCAGGAGACTTGGGGTCCAGTCCTGCCTCTGGCTCAAGACCCTGCCCTGTAGATGACTACAGCCTGAATGCTGAGTCCCCCTAAATTCACACTGAAATCCTAACCTTCAATGACACTAAGATATTAAGAGGCAGGGGCTTAGGGGAGGTAAACAGCTCACAAGAGCAGAGCCCTGGTAAAGAGATTAGTGCCCTTTCAAGGAAGGGCCCAGAGAAACCCTCAACCCTTTTAACCATACGAGGCCAGAGTGCTGTCCATGAGGTATGGCTCTCATTTGACTTGGAATCTTTCTGCCAGCACCCTTGACCTTGGATTTCTCAGCCTCCATGACTGAGAAATAAATGCCCATTGTTCATGAGCTGAACAGTACCTATGGAATTTTTTTATGGTAGCCCAACCTAAGACAGTGGTCTTCCCTTTTCTCTTAGAGCTTTGTCACCCATAGAAAGCCATGCAGGTCACATGTGGCACTGATGTGCCCAAATTCTGAGCTGTGACTAGCTATGGCTCTTCTCCCTTGCTGGAACTGGAGCCTTCTCAAATGTGTAGTCCTACAGAACTCACTGGCTAACTGGGCCATGTCTACTTCACCCAGGCCCAGCCACCTACTCCATCCAGCTCCATCCTGGTGACATTATCCCTCAGCTCTCAATGTCTCAGTGGCAGAAGGCCTGCCAGGTGAGACGGGATGACTCAGCAGCTCTGCACTGACTGTTCTCAGAGGGGCAGGAGCCCAGAAGGCCTCCAAGCTCAGGTACCTGATGGGGGAAAGGGAGAGAGGGTGGAGCAGTGGCTAGACCTCAAAGACCTCAATTGGATGCATGCTCAATGGGCCCTTCCATGGAATTTATTTCATGACTAGGCAGCTCAATTCTCCAAATTAATCACCCGATATCATACCAGATCTTTCAGTGTTAAGATTTCTTAGACCACTATTTCAACAATATTGATAAACGGATTATATGCAAACAGTCAAATCACTGCTGCCTAGGGGCTTTCCTGAGGAAAAATGCTGCTTTGCTCCTGATTTCAGAGCTGGGATCCTAAATATTGTAGTTCTTATCTGACAGCAAGAGCAAAAGCCCATGTACCACCCTCCCTGAATGTGGGTGAGGGTCAGTAGAAGGACCAGTCCCTCCCTGTACTCTAGCCATCCATATCACCCGACTACATAAAGTCTTCAATAAGAGAGAAGTGTGGTCAAGTTCACCCCAGCTTTAGGCTTCACCCCTACTCTTCTGGATAGGCCAATACTGTCATCGCCTGAGGAAGGAAGATGAGAATTCGGCACCTGCCAGACTGGGGGAGCTCATCTCCATACCCCCAATGCTGAACAGCCTCTCGGTCAGGCAGATGAAATTATAAATTTATAATACAACATTACTTCAATTTTCCTCTTCATTTACTGCTGTGCAGCCCAGCTCTGCTCCAGTGGCTCAGGGCCCGGCCACACAGGGGAAACTGGCTGGCTGCATATCAATAGCACATTACAGCAGACCCAAGCGAATGCTCCATCAAGCCACATTACTGCGGGATGACCCAGCTACCACTTCCATTAGCAGCTGGGCCCCTCCTACACTGGCCGCTGCACAATTTATTTGCTCCAGTACTCTGGATGCCTGATCAATCCCACAGTAATTATCTCTTGTCACTAAAGGAAAAAAAAAAAAAATCAAGGCTTCTGCCTGGATGACCACCTTCCTCGCACACTGACTTTCTATTGTGGCTGCACAAATCAGAAATGGACAACAGAACTTGGATATGCCAGAGAGCCCCTTCTGGGTGACCCCCTTCTGGGGATGCCAGTAGAGTGCCCAGAACTATGCCTCTAGATCTTTGTTCCAAACTTAAGATATGCTTGCATCTAGATGGAGCTCATGGGTCATCCAGGCTGTTAGCTACCTAGTATCCTGGAAAACTGCTCTCCCCAGGTCCCCCAGTAGAAAGAACAACAGAGAAGGGCCCTTGTTTCAGGGAACAGACAGTGAGTGTGATGTATCTGACATATGGAGCATTGCCTGGGGCACCACAATAGCTCCTTGTGTAAAGCAAGTGCCAGGAGCCCCTCCTAGACAAGCTGTGCTGGACAGCTTTAGTGTCAACTTGACACACCTGGGTTGAGGGAGCCTCCTGTTGGGGAATTTCCTCTACTGGACTGGCCTGTGGCCATGTCTGAGGGGCATCTTCTTGATGAGTGATGTGGGAGGACCCAGCCCACTGTGGGTGGTGCCACCTCTGGGCAGGTGGACCTGTGTTGCGTAAGAAAGCAGGCTGAGCAGGGGCCAGGGGAGCAAGCCAGTAAGCAGCGTTCCTCCATGGCCTGTGCTCCAGTTACTGCTTCTAGGTTCCTGGCCTGAGTTCCTACCTTGGGCTCCCTGATGAACTGCAATCTGGAGATGTAAGCTGAATAAACCCTTTCCTCCCCAAGTTGGTACTGGTCAGAGTATTTTGTCACAGTAATGGAGAGACAAACCAGGACGGACACTCAACCCAAGAATTCTAAGTTGCAGGGTCTCCTTCATACCTACACAATCTATTTCAACCTTAATTAAAATTATCTAAAGAGAAAATTTCAGTTCCTTAGAGGCATGAGCCACATTACAAGTGCTCAGTGGCCGGTGTGTACATGAGACTGACGGCCACCATATTAGCCAGCAGGCACACAGGGCTGTCCCGCCACCTCAGAAGGTTCTATGGATCTGCTGCTCTGGAGGGACAAGGGGCAGCCAAGGTCTGAGCTTCCTCTTTCTACCAAGAAACACCTGTGCAAATGGAAGTCCTCCTTAGGAGTAACTCACACAGGTATTTTCTGGGAACACCAAATCCCAGTTGAAATTACAGACAAGTCTAGAGGGTTCCTGGACGCTCTAGTCATCTCCTAACCTCAGAGTGAATGTCAGCAGATCATGGCTCCCCAGCCCCTTTTCAACAATGGCTGTTTTTTCCCTCTTTAATTTAGAGGGACCTAAATGTTGGAGAACACTGGAGCAGGGTTTCACAGAGATTTCTTGATACAAGTGAAGATAAGAATGCTTCTGGCCAAAGTGGTTAGTTGGCTGGCAGTGTCTCTCGTCTCCCTGGCCTGCCAAGTGGAAGCTTTTCTACAAGGCCTCAACACTGGGCTATCTCCCCTCCAAGTGTTAAACAAATAGCATATGCTCAAGCAGGCCAATCAAGCAGGCCAAGAGCATTAGAGGCAGTGGGATTACGAGGCAGAGAAGGCCACGAGGAATCAAATATATCAACAGTCATGTATTTGCTTTTATTAAGCCCACTTTCATTAAGAAAAACTAGAGATTCCCAATGAGCACAGTTGCCTTTGGTTCTGTCTGGCTCAGAGGCAGGAGATAGGGCCCTGGGATAATTCCCTTCTTTTCGTCCCTCTACATTCTTTTAAGGAAGTCTCACTGTCTTGAGTACCCTATCAAAGGCTGTGAAAGCTAAAGCCAAAACAGGTAGAGTTTTCTCAAAGGACATTAGTCTTTTATCCAGAGAGATCATGAAAGAATTTCTGCAGTACTGTACTCTCATCAGCCTCCCTTTCATTACAGTTTGAAGGATTAATTTGTTTGTCTGACTGAGACAGGATCTCCCTGTAGCCTCAGATGACCTGGAACTTGGTATGTAGACCAAGCTGGCCTCCATCTCACAGAGATGACCCATGGGGATACAACACAGCAGGCCATCCTACCCAAGGAGTACTCTGTGCTCACATTAGAGGAAAGATGCACAAAGAAAGAAACAGCTTGGGAGGATGCAGTCAAAACAGTCTTCTGTGATGCTACAGCTGATGACCATGTTCCCTCTTTATTCTCAAGAGCCAGAGGCTCATGGGCTGAGCTGTACTACTCTGAGACAGGAAGGCGGCCTGGGTATGTATGTATATATATAGCTAAGCAATTACCATATAGCACTACCATGATATAATTATATAATATAGCACTACCATGATATATATATATATTATATCAATAACAAGAGCTAAGCAATTATTGTATAGCACTACCATGATATAATTCTCACTCATTTAAAAAACCATTTAGAAATAATAAGTATGGGGCTGGAGAGATGGCTCAGTTTAGTAAGTGCTTGTTGCACAAGCACAAGGGCATGAGTGTGATCCCTGATAGTCCCATAAAAATGGGATACGGTGCCTCTAATTCTAGCGCTCAGGAGGCTGAGACAGAAGGATCCCTGGGGCTTGCTGGCCAGCTGGTTTGGCTGAATTGGTGAGCTCTAGGTTCAGTGAGAGACCTTTGGCCTCCACATGCACGTACATGCACAGGTACGCACACACAATTATACTTACATGAGTATACATGCATATATATTCTAACTTTCACCATGAAGTGTATGTTCTGTGCAGATGCAGTAAGTCAAAAATATATTTACCATACCTAGTCTGCTGGCCGGTACAGCTAAATAACAGTGCACTGTAGAGCTGCCTTGTTTCCCCTCCTCATAGACACAGCTCTGGAAGCTACAACTCACTGTCTCTCCCTAGCCTGGGAAAAAATCCAAATTCAAAATCTGAAGTACAGTTTCTACCAAATCTACACTGCTGTCTAGCTATTGTTAAGTAGAAAGTTTGTGGAGTCAAGCCATCATAGGCTGGCCCTGAACTTACTATGCAGCCAACTTCTGGTCCTCCTGCCAAGTGCTAAGTGCTAAGATCAGAGCTGTACACCACCATGCCCAGTTTTAAGTGGTGCTGGGGAGTCAAACCCAGTGCTTCATGCATGCCAGGCAAGCACTTTACCAACCAAGCTACATCCCCAGGCCTACCAGATTGTTTTAAAAACTGTAGCTTTATGTTGTGCTCTGGTATTTACATTGAACTGGTGTTTTCTCATTTTAAAAATTTTATTTATTCTCATGTTTCTTCTTTCAGATACACTTTAGAATCACATGGCCAGTTTTTAAAGAACTGTAATAGGATTTTTCTTGGAAACTCTATTAAGCCTAAAAAATTAATCTGAGGAGAATTAATAGCTTGGTCATTTAAAAAATATTCTCAGTGGCATCACTCTCCATTTTCGGTTCCTCAAAATAGCTTTACCTGCCCAAGTTATTTTCTTAGAAAAGTAGATAGAGTTCTCTACAAGACCAGGAAGTTTATACACTTAAAACTAAGCCAGGAATGATTTAAACAGCAGCAAATCTGAAAATACATAAAAGGCTTATCAAACAATATAGAAGAGGAACTCTTAGCCAAGCCAAATGAAAACCCATTAAAACTAGACAGCTCATGTGCCTGAATGGAATTTTACCATTAATGACCATTTATCCCATTTAATTAGTATTTTCCTGACACACAATAACTTGCACTAAAATACCGTTCTCTCGCCTTGAAATTTCTAATTATTGTTGCGACCCACACCATTAGCATCTCCTCCGCTTTCTCCATCTTCCATGCCATTTAAGCGGTGAGATTTTCAATTATCTACACAGGGCGGACAGAGATACCTTTAAGGAAAGGGGCATAATATGCAACTCAATTTCTCTAAAAGCCAGGAGAGATCATTTTTAGTCAGAACAAACATACTTTGTCTTTCATCATTTTTTTTTTTTTTGCAAATAAAGAGTAAAACAGGCTATTTAAAACACCCATTTAAATGCAAATTTTGATATCCCAGGAGAAAAATGTTAATCATTTAAATAGACAGGATTAGTGCCCACCCTTTCCACCTTCAGCTCCTCTCCCAAGTTTTAAAAAAATATAGCACGAGCCCATACAAGTTAAGTCAGTCAGGAGTCCTTAGTTTGGAGAACTCCCACTGGACCAAGAAGGCGGCAGAGAAAGGACAGGTTTTTTTTTTTTTTCCATTTGAGGAAGGGGTTTGGAAAGAAAACAGTCTCACCCTATGAACTAGGCACAGGGCAAAATGAAACTGTACACTCAACTACTCATCATGATGATCTTGAAGAAACTATCAGCTTCACTTGAAGATGAGGGAATGGTAACTTCGAGTAAACTGAGGCTCAGATGATCAAACTGAGGTTCAGTTTGACCAACTGGTAGGTGACTCAATTGAGTGTACAGGCTGCCACAACCTGCCCAGTTCACTGTGCACCCCTATGCCTATGCAGACTTACCCAGCATCCCCATGCCAAGCATGAATGCATCCATGGTGTATGGCAGCCCCCGGGCTCGGCCTCTTGTCCCCGGTGGGAACATGACTTCTTTCGGCTGGGCTTTCTTACATTCTACCTGTTAAACAGAAAGGCGAACAAATGAGATGCAAATGAATTCCACGTAAATGTCAGACGCAGAACCGATCTGGTTACGCGCTGTTATTTTTAGCCTTGCTCCTTACTCACTGTAAAAATAGCCATGCCGAGTAAATGGCCTGCAAAATAAATATTTAAGAAACCACACCACTTGTGCAAATCCCGCCTTGGAAAAACCTACAAGGATGAAATTAGGTTCTGGAAGGGCGGCAAGGACGTAAGCTAAAGATACACACATGGGGCTGCAGCCCAGACAGAGACTCGTGCAGAAAGCATGATGGCAAGGAGCTGGCGACGGCTGATGGATGTGCCTGTGGATAGCAGCAGCAATTATAATCATCTCTCATGACTGTTTGGCTTTTTAGATAGATTCCTTGGATGGTCCTGCAGGCTAGGGAGTCCTCACATTAGGCCATTGGAGATTGTCTCTCATGAAACAGAGAGGTCACTCAGTCCCAGGTCTGGCCCCCAGATGAGAAAATGGAGCACTGGAGGCTCAGAAGTGACATACTGCATTCTATCTCCAGTCCAGCAGGCACAGACCTGGAAGCCAGACACTACGATTCCCAGGTTAGCAATGCCACCATGTCTATGAAACCCACAGCATCACACTTCCCAGGGCAATCCTAAGATCCAACCCCAACTCCCTTCCTCTGGCTTATTGGTTTTAACACTCATGTCTTTAAGTGGTTGCCAATCTTTCATTTCCACTTACCTGCAACCTCCAAAATTTCCTCATCCTCTTCCATTTGTGCGTACAGAGGTTACTTAATAAACAATCTTACCTACACAAAATAAAAACCCTAGGGCTGGGGAGATGGCTCTGTGGGTAAGGGTACTTGCTGCTATGCCTGATGACTTGAGTTCACTCTCTGGGACCGACATGGTAGGGGGAAGCACTGACTCCAGGAAGTGGCCCTCTGATCCCCACATGTGCACCATGGCCTGTGCACACCCATGTACATAAATAAATGTAATAAAAATTGAAACCCTAGGAAATAATTCCATGGCCTGCTGGAGTTTCTACACTGATTGGAATGTCTGAGCTTGCTCGGCACTTAACTTGCTTTTAGTTTACAGGCAAATTTAACAAGCACCATTGGCTTGTAATCAAGACCATTGCTGATAAAGATGGGCTGTTGCAGGGTAAAGCAGGGTGCTTGGAGCAGCCAACAGTAACAGCATGGGAGCCTGATGGTGACAGAGGAAAAAGAATCAGGTATCTTATTTAAAAAACAGTCTGGGGACATATGGCAGAGGAGCAAAAGCTTTGCCTGGCTCAGCAGCTGCCAAGGGTATCACTGCATCACAGGAGAATGCTGTTGTTCATGGTATCTCTGACCAGTGAAAGTGAGCTAAACTATATAGAGCATACACTGTTTGAAAGGGAACCTATATGGAGGATCCATTCTGGAGATACTCTCATCCTAAATACTTAATTAGAAATACTGTAGTAGGTCAGGTGTGGTAGTGCATGCCTTTAATCCCAGCATTTGGTGGATCTCTGTGATACTGAGGCCAGCCTGGTCTACACAGCGAGTTCTAGGCCAGCTGGGTTTATAGGGAAACCCTGTCTCGAAAGTAACAAAAATAAATAAATAATAAATAAAACAGTAACTCTGAAACCAGATTAATAGCTGTTTAAAGAATGCTAAACTACAGGTATTTTTAAAAATGGACAATGTGATCCAATACACATGGGTATGTTTACTATAAAGAGTTTTAAAAAATAGATTAAGAGATGAGCATGTTGAGGACAAATAGGTTAAAAATAAGTATATGCAATTCACCATTGGCTAATAAAGAAGCACATAGTCCCCAAATAAGATAAATTTAGGGGATGGGGAGATGGTGCAGTGGGTAAACAACTTGCTGCAGAAGTGTGAGGACCTGAGTTTGATTCCCTGGAAACCATGTAAAAGCTTGAACATCTGTAATCCCAGTGCTCCTATGAAGGGATGGGAGGTGGAGAATCCCTGGAAGCTTGGGGGCAGCTAAACTGATATATTCAGTCGAACAACTGAGAAACTGTGTCTCAAACAATATGGGAGGCAAGGATTGACCTCCACATACCCTCATTCACACACACACACACACACACACACACACACACACACACACACAGGTATTTTTGGTCTACAAACAGACAGTGTGGACAGCATTTTTTGATGTAAGGGTATGGGGAGGGAAGTGGGGGGAGACTTATTAGTTACTTTTCTCATCGTTGTGACCAAATACCTGACAAGAAACAACTTAAGGGAGGAAGGGTTTATTCTGGCTCACAGTTTGAGGGGTTACAGTCCATCATGGCAGGGAAGGCATGGCTGGAGTTGTGAGGCAGCTGGTCACATTGCATCAGTAGTCAGAAAATAGAGGGCAAATAGGAAGTAGGGCTGGGCTATAAACCTCAAGTCCCATCCACCCACAGTGACCCACTTCCTCCAGCCAGGCTCCACCTAAAGGTTCTCTAACAGTGCCACCAACTGAAGACCAAATGTTCAAATACAGGAGCCTATAGGACACATTTCACATTCAAACCACAACAGGTGGAAATTAGTGCATTTTTTTCCCCTAAAGGGCAACTGGCAATATGTAGAAAACCTACAATATGTTCATATTTTGATCTAATAATCCTACTTGTAGCAATTTCTACTGCAAGAATATATGGGTGAGCTATTCACCAGAATCATTAATTATAACAAAAATTAATAAACTCTAAGAACAAAGGTCTTGGCTGGAGAGATGGCTCAGTGGGTAAAGGTTCTTGCCACCGAGCCTGATGACCTGAATTTCATCCCTGTGATCCATACAGTGGAAGGAGAGAACTGCCTCCTGCAAGTTGTCCTTTGACTTCCCCATGTATGCCATGGCATATGAGCACACAGATGGACTTGAACCAGTGTCCAGTCTACAAATAGGAGGATCAACTCAGAGGAAACATCTCATCCATGCTTCCAAGTGAAGCCAGCCGTGATTGAGCAGGACCTTTGACTTATCTTCACATAGATGGAACTGGTCAAAGAAAGGAGACAGGGGCTCCTCCCAAGCCCATGTGACCCCTGAGGAACAGATCCTCAAATGACCTTAAGAGTAAAAATAAATTGGTATTGGTTTATAACTGTATGGTCTTAAACACCCAAAAGGAAAATACAACCAAAGATTAAAGTGATCAGTATACTAAGAGTTCAAGGGATTACACTTCCCAGACATTAGGCTTAAGTCCATATA